ACACGGAAGTCCAAGTGACGGACCGCCCCGTGACGCAGCAAGGAATGATGGGCATGCGCATCGGCAACCGCGGGCCCCGGGCGCCAAGTCCAAGACGCGTCGTACTTTACGGGCAAATTGCACCAGAAAACGTCCGAAATCACGTCCGAAATCGACAAGATCACCAAGGAGATTGAGCAAGATGCCAAGGACAAGAGTCAGTATGCGCAGGTACATCCACCGTCTCCAACGTTGCGCTCGAGCCCATTACTGTAGCTCGAGAAGAAGTACGAGCAGCTTGCCGTGGAAGTCCGGGACCTCGAGGGCCAGCTCGCCGACTACAACCTCGCCATGGACAAGCTCCGCAGCGCGACGGTAGCCTCTGCGAGGTTCAGAAGCAGGTGTTGTATGCCGCAGCGTAGGACCCGGCCGAGATTCGCCAAGTGCAAGAGCAGCTGCACAACCGCAACATCAAGGAGGCCGAAGAAGTCGATCGGGTACAATATTGTCGTATACAAAATAGACATATGGACAAGAAGACGACGACTAGATCTTCATCATGCGCCAAGACGAAGAGCGCACGACCAAGCACCTGGAAAACGAAATCCAAGCGATTCACATGAAGCAGCAAGACAAGATCAACCAGCTCGCACCCCAGAAGCTGGAAATGTACCGTGCGCTTCTGGAAGAGAACCACCACGCCGAAGCCGAGCTCGAGGCCAAGTCACAGGTGCTTGGATCCTCGCTGTCCGCACACAATTTTCATTTGAAACTAGGAGCTCGACATGCTCATGCAAGCCATTCGTGCCAAAGAAGACGAGCTGAGCATGGACAAGTACCGGGAGGAGTACGAGCACCTTGAACACCAAGCGCTGCGTCTCAAGAAAGAGTGCAAGATGGTTCAAGACGACCTCGCGACCGCGCAGATGGACCCGAACGAAGCGCGGAACCTCCTCCTTGCGCGCGTACGTCGATGCTCGGCATGCCCTTCTTCACACTCGCCATAGGTCAAAGATGACAAGATCAAGATGGAGCAAGTCGAAAAGCAGATTGTGGCCATCGACGAAGAGAATGGTTGCAACCAGTGTTGTCTTGATATCTCGATTGACATGTCGTCATGTTAGGTGGCCTCAAGAAGGCGCTCAGCGAAGGCAAGGCGGAGCTCGAGGAGCGCAAGAACGAAGGCGCCGATGGCAACACGACGAGCCACAAATACGACATGCTCTACCAGCGCGACCAAGAAATGACGCTCTTCATGGAGACCTTTGAAGAGAAAAAGGGCAAGGAGCTCGAGGGCCAGCGGCAGTCCCAAGCCATGGTCGTGCGCCTGCTCGAGCACATTTCGCTGGGTATCATCGTCTCTACCGTATGTCGTCTCATGCACGAGGCAGGGCTGGGCCGCCAGGACAAGATGCCAACGGCGGCTAAAGTGGAGGAAATGAAGGGCGACTTGACGTTCAAGGAACGCCAGCTCGAGTCGGCGCAAACGACCAAGACACGGTAAACCCATCGGGAAGGCGTGCATTCCATTATATTGAATCCTAGGCTCTCGATGGAGCTCGCGAAGCGCCAAGCCGAGCTGGAGAAGGTGAATACGCTAGACGCCAAGATCTCGGTCGAGCTCGGCTCGCTCAACACCAAGATGGACACGATGCAAAGCGACATGGAGGGCTTCAAGAACATCGACGAGATGAAAGACACGCACGCCAACACCAAGCAGCTCCTTCTGCGCTACAAACAGCAGTACATTCGCCGCCGGGATGCGATGAAGTCCCAAGTTATCTTGCTCGTACGTAGTACTCTCTGTATTCCATTTCGCTTATGTTGAATGACAATATAGTCCAACCAATACGAAAACGTCAAGCACACACTGGCCGGCAACGACACGGCCAAGACGCTCGACTCGCTCGAGCAAAAGCTCCGGCACCACGAGCAAACCATCTACCACCTCAAAGAATGTACGTCTCCACTTGATAATTTGAAACAAAAACACACCGCAACTAGTCATTGACACCAAGACGCGCGAAGTTGAGTACGAGCACGTCAAGCAAGACTGCCTCAAGCTGCTCACGGAGCTCAACACGTTCCGTATCAAGGCCCAAGGCGTCGCGCAGACGTCCACGATCGGCTTTTGAGCCAGCTCCTGGAACTCTATACATGTTGATATGCACCTAATTTGGACCGCACACACACTAATACATCAACGAGGCCAATGCCTCCTGGAAACATACGAACGCGCCAGCGATGCACGTTGTTTGCGTACTCGTACACCAGCTAGCTCTCTGCATGTCGAGCGCCTCGAGACGAGGTCTTGCGCGATCTCAACGACGAGCTCAAGCACGAGTCCGAGGCCTTAAAGGACGCGTCGAGGCAGGCTGTCATAGCTATCAGAAAGCTGGTATCGACGACGCTGCAGAGGGCTCACGGGTCCTCAAATCCGACGGTATCGGACCAATACGATCGGAGTAAGGACAGACCAAGGGTCGCAGGCAGTTTCGAAGGTAAGGGCTAAGCTATTCGAGTGTCGGGAAGCGCCATGGCGCGGGATAAGTCTCATCGATTCTTGGCATTGGATTCGGCAAGGACGACTTCCATTCGCGTTCCTGGTTGAAGCACTATTAGCTAATGCAATGTCCGCGCGCTTGGAGCTCGCGCGAGAGCGGCACGACGTAGCGCAGTAGAAACGCGTGCAGGCGCGGCACGGCGGGGTGACCTTCGGCGGCCGCGGGCGACGCGAGGCTAAAGATAAGGACGAGGCGGCGCAGGCGCTGGAGAAAGCGCTGGAGAGAGGGCGACGCTACATGTGTCTGCGCCGCGCAGAAGCGCCAGACGACACTCACGTCGTCGTGGTACAAACGCTGGACGTCCGAGAACGTCATGGCCTTGTTGCAGAGCATTGCTGAATGGCAAATTGAACGAGCAAGTGCGACGACGATGGCATGAGTGATGGGCGTGTCGTCGCATGATTTTCAAAAATCATTCTGAAACGACACCTTTCTGACCCGCGGCTGACTACTAGAA